GGGGAGGTCCGCTGTTGGAATGCCCCGGGAGCCAGCGGTTACAAGGGCGCCTGGCCAGGAACTTGTGGCGAGGACCTTTGAGCAGGAGCCCCCAGCCACCCAGAGCAAGGCAGTGGCGGTCAAGGAGTCCACGCGCCCTGCGGAGGTTCTGGTGCTGTGCAGTCTCTCTGGGTCACCACAGAGGCTGGTCACAGCGGACAGAGGCTTCCACTAAGCATTCTGATGCTTGGGGGCGGGGGGCACTCTGCGACCCCCAGACGCAGTCCCTGTGGGTGTGTGGAGGAGATCAGGACTCCTTCCATGCATGAGGGGCAGAGGCACGCCAGAGCGGGGTCCTCCTGACCCCCTCACTCTTGGCCCGCATACACGCCAGCTGCGGGGTGCAGCACAGGGTTCCAGTCTTCCCTCCATATCAGGAGAGTCCAATCCCTGCGTTGGCCACCACAGTCTCCAGGTCGCCACCTGGGTCCCCTGAGCACAGCCGGGGTGGAAGCAGGTCTGCCAGGAACTGGGCTCCCAGTTTTTTAAAGGGTGCCGGTTTGGGGTCTCCCCAGAGCGCAGCGCCACCGCAGTCCAGAGTCTCCGCCGAGTCCCCTCCCCGCTCTGCCCGCGCTGCGGCTCCCACGCGACCAGCGAATCTATGAATGGGGACGGGGTGAGGACGCGCGCCTCCACCCCTCCCCCCGTCTGCAAGTGCGACAGAGGCCCACGGGGGGCCCGCTATTTATAGAGCCCTCCCTCCCCCTGCCCCTGGCCTGCAGCCGCCTCATTGACATCCAGACTCGCGCGCGCCCATCCCCCTGCGCGGGTCCCCTGGCGGCTTTAATGCCGCGGTGTGTGTCTGTGTGTGTGTGTGCGCGCGCGCGTGTGTGTGTGTGGTGGCAGTGCGCGGGCGGCAGCCGCGGGGGCCGCGTGGGGCGGCGCTGACGTCCGCGGACGTCAATGAGCCGGCTGCCCGGGACTCGGGTGGCAACGAGGCTCGGACGTCATCGCTCCTCGGCGGGCGGGGGGCGCGGCGGCTCGGGCTGCGGGGAAACTCTCCAAGTTGCAGGCGCTGGAGCGGGCGCGGCGTCGGGGTAGCCCCGCACACCGACACCCAGCGCGCGGACGCACGGACCCCGGCCCCAAGCGTACACACGCACCAGTGTCCTCCCCGGACCGGAGTGGGTGCAAAGTTGCGCGGCCGGAGGCTGAGCGGCGATGGGCCGCCGGCCTCGGGGTGCATTCCCCGCGGAGCCTGGCCAGGACCCCCCGCGCGCCCCGCGCCCC